TATTCAAAAAATAGTCACACGCACGGACTTTTTGAACGAGCTATAGTTCGTATTGAGATTGATTTCATTACTTATTTTTCAATACCATTATTCACTGTCACTAAAGAAACCAAAGTTTATAACTAATTTTAAAACTACGATTCCACACTAAAATGTAATATGTTACATGTGTCGTACTTTGCGACACATTCTGAAAACATGATTCAAATCTAGTATACAGCACATTTTTTATTTGTTTTTCTATGAAAGCAAATCATGGAAATTTTTTTTTCAATTTAATTTGATTTAATTATGTCTACTCTGGAAATTCAAGCCGATTAGATTGTGAGTTCTGTCTGTCTCGAGTGATCGAATCTCGATCAGATCGATTCATGATAGTCTTCTCTTGATTATCGATCGAGATCGACATGTTCTCGACTAATAACTCATTGAGAAATAATCTAGAAAAAAAAAACACGAAGATACACAAGTTTCACATGTTCAACTGAGTTGTCTATATGTAACTATGTGTGAAAAACAGAACAATGAATGATTAGTCAGCGGACAGAACACGACAAATTCATAATGCGACACGTTTTCGCGAGAGAAATTGCAACACATTTTATTTTAGGTTGTCGATGGTAGAGTAAAAAAATTTCTTTTTTCAGATTGTAGAACACAAAATTCTGCACCGATTGATGTATGTTTCATTTTTTTCTAAACAGAGTCGCTAGGTAAGAAAGTACAAAATACTAAAAGTGTCTTAAAACAATGTCCACCACTTTACATATGCCTTACCTTTAAATTATCGGTACTGCTACTGTTGTTTTAAAGTTTGTGTCATTTTCTTTTTTAGATATTAATAAAATAGCTAATGCGACGCATCCTTAAATTACCACCATTAAAAATCACGCCTGGTAAGTAGCATTGACATGAACCAGACTATAGTGATCTTTAAAGAATTCGGTGGAGAAACTCTCACATTTGAGATTATTTACTACATTTCGTCATTCTTTGCTTTGAGAAATAACACAAATTTTATATTAAGTTGCAGATAATGTGAAATTTGATCAGCAACCTTCAACATCGCACAGAGAAGGATCGCCGAGACCTAGGATTCTGCCACCAACTTCTGTTATCAATGATAAACGTGATGTTGACCATACCAAAAGTTGTCCATCAACAGGTGAGTGATTAATACTAAAAAGGACATGAAAATTTACTGCCTTTATAGAAATAGCTCTATCTGGAACACACTGTTTTTTCGTTTTACAAATTCTTCAGTTTCCTTACAGAACTTAATATTGTACCTATGTATTTGAAAAATAAGTGTGTTCTACTCGTTTCCGAATATATGAATGAACATTGAGCATTTTTAGACGACAAGAACACATGAGGGAATGTTAATCGGTACATTAGAAATAGTGCGACCATTTATACTTTATCAATATACGTTTGATTTTTCTTTCAGTTGGGTTTCCTCATTTTTTTTCAGAAGTCTTTGATATAGCCGTTTGAGTCAATTCAGATCTCATTTTAAAAACGTCATTTTATTTTTCTTTGTTCTCCGTCATTTTACGTGATTAGAAAGTGATTTTTGAAGCCAAGGTAGTTCAAAATGTTTTCTTTCGAATACTCACAATATTTTTAGAAAACCTTGTACCAGAAAAAAATTATAGCCAAAATGGCAAAAGTACGATTCTCAAGGGTAATGGTGTGACGACTAGGCAAGTAACTGAAGATTAGAATGTCATACGTTAGGGACTGGGTGAGAGTTGAATTGGTTAGCTAGTTAAAGAGAAGATCGCTACCATCATCTACCCGTAGCACATTCGCTGAACTCCCATATCTTCATCACCCCCATTTACTATATAGCAATGGTGAAAGTGAAGATGGCTGCGAGATCAAAATACGAATCTTCTCATACTTCACCTCTATTAGAATACGGATTACTACATTCATTGACTAAACATACCCTTGATTATGATAGTGACATGACTTTGTGAGTGAAAAGAAAAACCTTGAAATTTGAATGGTTATCAACTATTCTCGAGTATGAGGGTGGCTGAAGGTTGGTCATAGTGTGTAGGTAATGCAAGCGAAGTTCCTTACTCTTACTCTCAAACACAGATCAACCCCCATCCTCATCCGCTCATTCACCTATTCCAGCCCTCAGACATTAACAATCACGGAGATGAGCAATAATCAATTATCAGATATTGAATTTCATCTCATTTTGAAGTTCAAACGCCAAGCGTTTCCCAGATCAAGCTGTGCTATCGGCTTCCAATAACTCTTGAAAGACCGAAGGATGGGGAGGGGGCGGGGGAGAGAGGTCGTGTTGAAAAAACATAGAAAGTTTGTTTGTATCTATGATCTACTAAAAAAGTGAATGGAGAGATGGAGAAGTAACATTCTAGATATTTTTTCCTGAGTGATCCGAATTATTCCAGCTAGAATGGCTTACTAATTCGATTAACTTTAAGTGAGATAATTCGAATCACATTGATGGTGCTTTTGCCATTTTGGTTATAATCTTTTTTCTGGTGCAAGGTTTTGCAAAAAGGCTGTGAGTATTCGAAAGAAAACGCTTTAAACTGCCTTTGCTTCAAAAATTCTTTTTTAATCGCGTAAAATGATGAAGAATGAAGAAAATCAAAATGAAATTTTGAAAGTGAGATCCGAATTATCTCAGACGACTGTACCATATTAACGAAACTAGATATTTGAGTTATTCTTCTAAGTAGTTCTTATTGTTGTTCAACGAGCGACTTAAGCGACGAAGATACGATGAATAGCTTCCTCATATAGTTTCTAGTCGAAATTGCAATTCGCCGATCGAGATGCCTTCTAACTCATCTCATTGTACTTAATATCACACAGGGAAGTAAAGATCAGATTGAGTAATATAACAGATTCAAATCAGGATTGTTGCAATCAATAGCTCTTATTGTTAATGAAGGATAGATTATCTGGTCAGGTATTGCTGAGGAAACACGCACGAATGCCATGTCTTCTGTGTCATCATAGTTGGAGATTCAATCTTTGCTAAAGTCACTGTCGGAAAGGTCTTCTGTATTCATGAGATATGAGACTGTCAACTATACTAAAACATTATTTAAAAAAAAACCATCCAATTATATTTCTTTTTCGCTAACCGATTGTTATTCGGATGGTTCATCGCACGTACTTGACCATCCCATAGAATATATAGACTGTTTCAGAAAGTATTAGCCAGTTGATAAATTCAGTTTTTTTCCGTTAAAAACATCTGTATTTCTCTCAAATCTTTACTTTTAATTTTTCGCACTTGAATTCCTTTTTATTTTGTACAAACTTCCAATCAGAAGATGTTCAGTCCAACAAACGACACAGTAGCGCGTTCTAATGCTATCTGTCAGATTTGAAACAGTGAATTTCAACTTTACGCTCATTGTTAAAACACTAGTACTGCCTGTTGACAATAAACACTGTACATCTGACCATCTCGATGATGTCTCGTCTTCACCCGGTATTGAAAATGACACATCAATATTCGACTTCGTTCTGGTCTACACAGAAGAATCGCCTAGCAAACCACAACAAGATGGTAAACAGTGGTCTGCAATTCAACGTTTAGTGCAACGTTTTGGTGGTCATGTTCTTCTGACCCCATCGGTGAAACAAACAATACGAAAGAAATTCGAAGAAGATCTCAAAAACAAATATCAATTGGATATTCGTAGACATGTAGTGAAAAACACAATCAATAAATATCCAATATCCAACTTATTTTGTCGAAAACAAATATTGAGAAAAACCTGCTATATCATAATTCGTGTTCCATTTCATGTTCTTTTGTTTTGGGCAGAAACTCTACGAATGAAATTGCCGATTGAAGTAAGAACAAAAAAAAACTAAACACATTGTTCGAAATCTCATTGTTTAATTGATTACTTTTTCTCTACTCTTTATTCAGAAGATAGAAGATACAAAAGAAGATGAAAAAACAGATATAGGTGACGATACAGAAGAAGACGATTCACCTACTCAAACAACAGTAATTGAATGATATACATTACAAATGATCATTGAAAATCATTTTAGGATACATCTAAACAAGAGAAATTCTGTAATTGGAACCGTTTTGTTCACTGGATTCAATGCGTATTCGGTTATCAACGCTCGTCTACAATAGACCAACCTTATCGTACGGCTGTCTATTCATTGTCAAAAATTGATCAATTTGTAAAATGTTTCGATAAACGAAATCGATCTGAAACAGATCTGAACCGTTCAAGCAGTGAAAACGTGAGAATATTGCATATTTTTCCGTCGCTAACATATCTTTCAGGAATCATATGGATAACATCTCGAAGAAATTGTTCAAATCGAAATTTTTTTTATACAGATTTCAGTTCAGACAACTGATAAAGCCATGACTTGAATCACACTAAATGCGCAAGTTAATTCTCTGGAAGAGTGATCATGTGTTATCTCTATAGATTTGCATAGATTTTGAATTTATAGATACATGCATAATGTTGATCCTTCGTCGAAAGAAAGACATTGACTTGATTGTTGTTAAAAAAATCATTAGAAATAGGACTTGAAATGAACATAGGATCGTTCTATTTTATGAAAAATAGCTTGATTCCAAGAACAAAAGAGAAAATTGAATAGTATTTACAAATGGTATCACATATTACTGGTCAAACATAGGTAGAAGACAGAAACGGAGGCGACCGTCCCGTGCGTGCGGTCCCTTCGCACTCTAATGGAAAGTATGACTCATATATGGGCGGCCGCTCGCGTGACATTTTTTTAGGCCCGGTGCACTTTTCTGGTAGAAGACACGCCCTATTGACTTTTCATGTCAAATGAATGGATTAGTTTTTGTAATGCAGCGATTTCTATTCGTTGATAGTAATACATACGTATTTCTCGTAGACTATCTGTTGTCTACTTTCCACTGAATATCATTTCAAATTACATATCTTTTTTAAAATAATATTCTTATGTGTAAGCAACTGTCAATTCTTTTATTCTGCTGAAAAACAGCTTTATTCTCTGTTTCTTTAGTTATGGGATATTGCTGAGAAGAACTATTTTACAACCAGCGAACGACATTGGCTCACTTATGAACTGTTGTCACGGATCAAGGGAAAGATTATTACGAGTAAAAATGAAATTTTTAATTGAAATCTCATAATAAAAAGGATAAATAGATTCATGTGTGTCATCTGAACAAAATTTATCGAACACGTATAAATATTTCGGGATTCGTCAATTAATATCTCATGGCATATTTGATTCATGTTTTCCTTTACACGAAGTAAAATTCCGACTGATTTGATTGAAAACAATATATTGTTATTTTCAATTATTATCTTTTCTTTTTAATAAGAAACTAGACTATAGTATATCCAATGATCGAGTTGTGAGTTAAAAAAATAATTATTGTTTGATATTTTATTTCAATATATGAGTACAGAAATTGAGGACAACATGGGCAACTATATGCAAATGTTTGAAACTTCAACCAATTGATTTGATCCGTTCCTATATGGGTGAAAAAGTTGCATTTTATTTTGCTGCTATGGGTTCTTACACAATTGCACTCATACTACCTTCAATTCTTGGGGTGATTGTCTTTATCTATGGTGTTGCTAGTGTCACTTCGGACAGGCCAACGTAAGCTTTCTTCTTTTGTTTTATGCGTGACTGTAACTCATCTCATACTGATTCAATTTGGAGAACTATTTTTTCACAGTTTCAGCTTAAACAATTTCTATAAAGATGTTTTTCTGTATTAGACAGATTATAGTTTTGAATAATAATCATATATCCTATTTTCAATTATTTATACAAACATTGAAAATAGTCTTTAATCCTTTCAAAGGCAATGCAGACAATACTTTTCCTATTCGTAATTCGTTCTAACTATCAGAATTAATTATGTTTCATTTTGTATCATCTAAAACTTGATCATTTCTTTTGTAACATGTGTGAATTTTTCGAGAGAGAAAACTCATGAAATTTGCAGTACTTGTTTTTCAGAAAAACTCAATTAGCAGCCTCCAAAAGATTCATTTGCATATTGAGATTTCATAGAGTTATTTATACCTCAAAATATAGAATTTTCTGTAATTTCTTCTGAACCTCATGAGTTTAATAAAGTAGATGACGCCTTTGGATATTGTTAGAAAATAATCTATAAGCGAAAATTCTTTTTTTATTTCGTAAGAAAAAAATTTTGAAATATAATAATGAGTCTAATATTATTGACTAATTTTCTCTTTCGTACAACAAATTACAGAGTAGAGAATCTTGTAGGATATTCTGTTGTATTTGCTGGGCTCTCGTTTTTCTTGTTGTAGGAGAACAACGAAAGACATACAACGTAAGGAAGAAGGAATAGCAACTTCTGAAATAATTTTAGAAGTCAACAAACAGACAATAAGAGAAATTTTCTTCTTACTTTGCTTGACCTGCGATATCAGATATTCGTAAAAAAGAAGTACACTGACATATAGTATGAATATTTCAGTGGAATCTTTTTTGTATATTTATTGTAATTCAATTGGAGAAAGAATATATGATAGTCAAAAAGAGTACTGAGAAATATGAGAAGATGTCATGTAAGGATAGAATAGAGTTTTATTTCTCTATTTGTTTTTGTGTTATAATTTTATTTAATATAATTGTTTCATTATTATTGCTATTTAAAATTTTCGTTTAGATCCGATATTTGTGGATCATTTGGACACAATACAGACATGTGTCCTCTTTGTGATAAAACATGTTCATTTTGGAAGCTTAGTGATAGTTGTGTCTATGCACAAGTAAATTTAAATATCGATTCGAAAATAGTTTTAAATTACTTCATTTAAGATTTCTTATGTATTTGATAATGTTGCTACCGTCATATTTGCTATATTGATGTCTATCTGGGCAAGGTAAATAAATTGAATCAATATATTTCAACGATTTTTTCACACTATCTTTATTTGAAATAGAGGCTTTGTAGAAGGATGGAAACGAGGTCAATCCGAATTACAATGTCGATGGGTATATCTTTCATAAAAATAATCATTTTTTTTTTCTATGGATGATTTTTTTTATCAGGATTCGATCGATTTTCATGAATGTAATGAACCAATACGACCTGATTTTGAAAAACAAGTTCGATCAAAACGAAAGAATATAAAAACTGGAGTCAGTCTATTTGTATGAGATAGCAATCATTGTTTTAAAATCTTTATTTTAAAGAGAAAGGAATCACATGTCAGTATTGAACAGAAACTTCCAAAAATTCTGTTGTCAATTAGTGTCGTTTTATTGATGGTAAATTGAACAATTATTTAATTAATAACTAATATAAATACAATTATCTAGATAATTATCGTCTGTCTGACAATATTCTCTATCATTGTCTATCGTATTCAAATAACATATGTCTTAAAAAATGTATCAGTTAGTTCATATTCATCGATTATAATCACTGTAACAAGTGCCATTATGAATCTAATTTGTTCTCTTATATTATCACCATTGTATTATTATATTGCACAAAAAATAACCGATTATGGTAAGAAGCAAATGTTTAGTACTTGTTTTCTATCTCTTATGTCTTCACGAAAAAAAAAATATATAGAATTACACAAATACCAATCAGAATACGAAGCAGCATTTTCACTTAAGGTTTATATATTTGAATTTATCAATTTTTATTCATCATTATTTTATGTTGCCTTTTTCAAAGGACGGTGAGTAAGATTCTTGACAAATACTCAAAAATAATAATAATAATTATAATAATTTTTTTGTTTTTAAGATCAAGTAGTTACCCATCTACGTACGGTGCACAAAGAACAAATGATTTCACTGAACAGGTTTATTTATTCGTTCACTAGAGTGACTAATTTTAAATTGATTACAAAAACTAAATGATATATAAAATTCTAAACTTCATGAGTTATCCATTGCAAAAAAGAATATTTCTTTCCATCCCTTCATCTCCAATATATCGGGCTTAAAAAGTCGATAGTTTTATAGAAATACAAAACAAAATAACCGCTACTTAATCCTTTAAGAAATTCATAATATTTAGTGTGATCCTGCTGGTTGCATGGTTGAACTGTCTATTCAACTACTCATCAGTAAGTAGAATATGTATGTATATTGGAAATACCATGATTTTACTCTGCCAGTTATGGTTGGCAAACAAATCGTCAACACTGTGATCGAATATGGTTTACCATTCTTAAGCAGTAGAAAACTATGTAAAAATACCGATGAAAACAAGAAACAATGGGAAATAGACAATCAATTGGATGTATTTGACTGGCAAATGCTCTTACCAGAATATCTTGAAATGAGTAAAAGAAAACAAAATAAAATCTTGTTATCATTGACATGTCATTCTCTTTAATTCATAGCTATTCAATTTGGTTTTATCACACTATTTGTTGCTGCTTTTCCGTTAGTAGATTATATGTTCTCTGTCTAATATTTTTTTTTCTCGTTAAACAGATTAGCACCATTGTTTGCATTATTAAATAATATATTAGAAATTCGGTTTGACGCCTGGAAGTTATTAACAAGATATCGTCGACCTGTTCTACATAAAGCAGCAAACATTGGCATTTGGACTGCTATTCTTTCCAGCATTTCTTATTTTGCTGTTTTGACTAATGTCAGTATCAATTTGAATTGACCATTTAAGTTATTATTAGTTTTCAGGGAGCAGTCATTGCATGGACATCCGAATTTATACCAAAATTAGCCTACCAGAGCATAGAAGGAAAAGGAACAAGTCTTGATGGTTATGTTAATTGGACACTTTCTTTATTTCCGATCAGTGATTACAATAGAACAGGTACTATGAATCCAAATATTCCATCAAATTTGACTTACTGTCGGTAGGAAAAATATTCGATTTATGTTCGATTATTATATTGATAAAAGATTTTATTTTTGTTTTAGTTATCGTGATTTTCGAGAATCAATCGGTCCTAATTATAATTATACATCACTTTATTGGCATATTATTGCTGCTCGTCTAGCTTTTATGATCATTTTTGAAAATGTTATCTATCTAATTGTTTATTTAGTTGAATTGATGGTTCCTGATGTATCCAGTCATGTTCAAGAAGCTATCGATCGACAACGTTACAGTGAACAATCTCATCGAGATTCTCCTCCCAAGACTCCATCTGCAGTGAAAGAAGTGATTCAAAGACTGAAAACAAAAAGAGAAACAGCGGAAAAATAACATCAATCACTTGAATTATATGAAAAACACATTTATTTCATTGTTAATTAAATAAATATCCTATATCGAAGTCAACGAAATAGTTACGCATGCAACTCGTGTCAGATGTGCGAATGTGGATGTGAGTGTCGGTGTGAGTGCGGATCTTTTATGTACCCTTACCGAAACTCTAATCCACGCACCGACAACCAAACAATCATACCCTCACCGTAGGTTACATGAGGAAAATTGAGAATTACATGCAGAATTCCAACTATTTAGTCCAGAATTCAAAGAAAATGATTTTCTCGATAAAAAAGAAAAGCAGAGATGAAAAGCAATGCGTACTTTTGTGACTGGTAATATGATAAATTGAACAAGATAAAATATTTGATTTGATGATATAGCAGAAAAAAAATTGCGATAGTTTTACAAGAATGAATCGTCAGTAATCTTGAGCAATGGTAAATGGTGTCCAACATTAATACACTTTTTGGATTAAAATCAATTTAATAACATTTTTATATTCAGGTTTTTATGTCAAATCAGAAAAAAACCTATTTTTAGAAGCTTTCAACTGGAATGAAGCAAAGGATTTTGTATAATTTGAAAGAGATGCGTTTTTTGAGAAAAACGTTAGGTACGAAGTTTGAAGTTTTTATGACTTGAAAGAAGTGTTTATAAATGTTGAAAACTAGTTTTCCATAATGAGCAACTCACGCTCTATCAAACCATATATGAAAATGACGAAACAAAAATTCAACTTGAAATTTGAATTACGGATGCCTTACATATCTGTTTTTCTTTCATTTAAATCTATCAATGAACAGTAAGTGTTGTTTCCCAATTCCAAGTCTTTTTCTTCTTTAGATTTCTTCCTTTTTTTCGAAGTTGTTTACCATCTATTCACTATCTATTAAAATGTAAATGTTTATTGTTTATCTTACTATGTAAAATAATATTCTACTAAAAACAGATTCATACAAAATCTCTCATGATTATCTTAAATAAGTCTTTTTTGGAACGTCTCGAACAGGTCACTCAATTTTGTAAAAATAAGATTTTGGTTATGATGTTTATTACTAGCAACATGTTATTAAAAATCATAAAGAACATTTATTCCTATGTATTGAAGCTGTATCAGAGGGAACATCAGCACCAATTACAAATTTTCTTATAACAATAGAAGATAGAGATCCAAAATGTGCATCATTAACAAGGATTTTAGAAACAATATTCCTTGGAGCTTGGTATCCAATAATTGTTGCAACTAATTCTAGAGAAATAAAACAAAATTAAATGAAAACTAATTATTTATATTATCAAAATATAACAACAATTTTCTTTTATATATTTAATTAAAAGCACTAAAATAGTGGCGGAACCAGGATTTTTAGGTATGCTGTAGCTCAGCTTTAGAGCACGGGATCCAAATGAGATTTATGGAGATTGATATTGGTCCCAAATGATGACCTTCTATGAAACGATTTTTACGATCAAAGTTTGCGAAAAAAATTAGCATTTTCCTGAGCTCCCCCAAGAAATATTTAATACTTTTAGTTGTATCCACTTTTTGAGAATGCCATCGTAAGCTACGTTAAATTTTATCGGCAGATTTCAAATTTCATCTAAAATTATTCATCCGTTTAGGAGTTATGGCTTCTTGAAGTTTTCCTACATTTCAAAAAAATTACCTCAGAAGTTCAAAACGTTATAACTCCTAAGTGGATGAATATTTTTAGATGAAATTTGAAATCTGTCGATGAAATTCAACGTAGCTTACGATGGCATTCTCAAAAAGCGGATACAACTAAAAGTATTAAATATTTCTTGGGGGAGCTCAGGAAGATGCTAATTTTTTTCGCAAACTTTGATCGTAAAAATCGTTTCATAGAAGGTCATCATTTGGGACCAATATCAACCTCCATAAATTTCATTTGGATCCCATGCTCTAAAGCTGAGCTACAGCATACCTAAAAATCCTGGCTCTGCCACTAGCTACAGCATACCAAAAAATCCTGGTTCCGCCACTACACTAAAACAAACAGATGATCCAACGAATTAGACATGGTGGGATTCAAGAACTTTCTGGGCTAGTCCAGACGTGGTTAAAGGACATTTATCCTAAAGATGACTAGTCATGTCGATCGTCTTCACTTATTTTTTGCTCACTCAGGAAATGATCAACTCAATAGATTAATTTTTTTTAATTATAAATAAAATTCTAGTAAAAAAAAAGTTTCATCCAATTAATATAATGTTCTTATAAAAGAACTAACTTAAAGTTCAAATAGTTATTTTCGTATTTGTGCATTAAAAATGATGATGACCTTTAAAGTGCATAGCTTGAATTAAATACATACGATGTTCTATCACTACCAAACAATCCTACCATTTAAGATATCATAGGATAAAAAGTACGTATACAACTGGATCAAACAGTGTCAAAGATTTTAACAAATAGAAAACCTATTTTATTTAGTATCATCAACAAAACTATGTGATGTGGAAATCAGAAAAGTGAAGGGGACAATCAATAACTTTAATATGATTACTACCGACAGCATCATTAGAAGATAAATTTGATGTTATATCAGTTTATATAATTGAAGTATGAAATTCTGAAGAATATTAATGAAAAGAATCAGAAAAAAACTTTATGCATCAAAAGAAACCATATACACAAACCGATTGTACAACAACAAAATTTATTTTATTAATGTATCACTTAAATGTACTTATTAACAATAATATAGAATACTTTAATAGTTAATTGACGTGGAGATTCATCAAAAACTAAACGTTATATTATTGAAACACATGAAGCATCAAATGAAAAAAAAAATTTAGATGTCAGTTACTGAGTACCTCTTTGTTTATGTGAACAATTAAACAGTATGCTTATAATATGTGACACCACCTATTCGAAATTATATTATAAAAAAAAAAAGAAGTTAAATTTTTTCAAAGATGACAAAATGTTAATAATTTATTACAAACATGTACATGTCTTGTGAGCGATTTAACATCAGATATACAATATATTAAAAATCAATGATTTAGAATTCATTTTTGTTTAAAGTGTGAATTCTATTTGATATTTTTAAGTGAAATCGATCTAATATATGTATTGCATTTCGAGTACGGTAAAAGAATGATTAGATAAAATGAAAAATGGAGCCCTTTTATAAATTAAATTAAGTCTTTTTTTCTTTGCTAATAGAGTTTTTTACCTCATTCATGATCAAGTAATTTACAAGTTGAACATGTTCAAATAAATGTTGATCATATCATGTGGTCAAATGTTAAACGTATTATCGTTTAGATACTAAAGACTAGAATCATTTTGTTCATCAACAATTCTTTTTTATTCTCTCTTTTGGTTGAATATAAACTAATTGTTTGAATGCTATAGATCAATTTTTATTCATTGTAGAATTTTTTCTTAAATATTAAAATAAAAATAATATTTTTAGTTAATGATGACATTGAAACATATTATATTTTAGTTAAAATAACTGTATACTATATATATGATGCAAGATATGACTGTAGATGCGGTGCAAAGAGAATAAATCCTATACATTCACATTCATACCAATACCTCGAAATTTTTTACAAGAAAGCTTAGAAAAAAAATATAAATGAAAACATTGTAGAATAGTGGTAAATTGATCGTCAACGAAAACAATGAAAATAATTATCTCGTCAATAATGTTTTTTCTTCGTCTTCGATGATCAATTTTCTAATGGATACAAAGAAAAAAAATGACAATGTCATTTATTCATTATATATCAATGATCATTATTGACTGACATTTCATGTTTGAAATATATATACAAAGAGTGATTTTCTTCTATGAAATCATTTCATTCAATCAAACATTTCTTCGTCAACAGATTAAGTAAGTACTCTAATATACTTTTTTTTGCACAAGGTACAATATACAAATATTTTAATAATTATGGAATTTATTATAATGAAATTTATACATTCATATGCTAGCATATCATTACTTACATACATTAGAATTATTATTAAAATTTACAATGACAATGAATCATAATAAATTATTATAAATATTATATTATATTAAAATAGAATTGTTTACAATGTTCCGAAGTTGAATTATCGACTTCGATGTTATCGTTTCGGTCGATCCTATTATTATTGATATTATATAATGAATTACAATAATATTTACATGACCAATACAACAAGCAAGACAGGTATGTTGATTGAATTTTTTCTATTCAGAAGAGATAAAATAATAGAGTAGTATAAGTTAAGTTCGTTTCTTTTTTCTTTTTGAAATTGAGAGAAGGGATATAAAATTTAGAAGTTCTAGTGGCCAATAGGACTTCTAACGATAATTTTTATTTATAAGGTAGACATGCCTTCCATTCCGGATGGAATAGTTTCTCATTTTCTTTAAATACCTTACATGAATGTATTCATTGTAATATATGAAAGTAAAAAGGAGAAAATTCTTTTATCTTTGACAATAGCTATGTTATTGTCTAGTAGTAATTGAGGTATCATATTATATCACAGCCTTGTAAGGTGGCTTCGTAACCTAATCCAGGGAGATTTCTTGTGCCTGTTATGGCGAAAGCAGTGTAGTACTCGGGAAGGCCGCTATGTTCGTAGGTCCCTGTCGTCGTTATTCTTCGGCATACCTACCGTTCATTGCCCTACCAGTCCGGCGTGATCCGCTCTGTGTGCACCCATTTCAGGCTTACAGGGAATCTCCCTGGTCGCACGCGCGTATACGCCATAATAAGCCAGAAAAGACGGTGAATAGCAATGCGGAGAAATTTATTGAGCAAGTCAATGAAACAAAAACAAATTCACATTTTCTGTTTCACATAGTCAATATTATCTATCGCTCGTTTAATATCAGGATGTGTTGGTGGGAGTGATTTTTGTCGAATAGCAAGTGTCTTTTCTAAAAATGAAAGTGCTTTCGAGTGGTCACCCATGTTGGCATATACACAACCGATGTTGCTGTATGAAGTAGCCAAATCAGGATGATTCGGAGTCAGAGTTTTCTCTCTTAATTTAAGTGCTTTGTCGTAAAATTCAAATGCTTTCGAGTAGTCACCCTTCTTACTATACACCACACCGATGTTGCTGTATGAAGTAGCCAATAGGGGATGATTCGGAGGCAGAGTTTTTTCGAAGATTTTAAGTGCTTTGTCGTAAGATTCAAGTGCTTTCGAGTAGTCACTCATGTTGGCATACACAGAACCGATGTTGCTGTATGAAGTAGCCAATGAGGGATGATTTGGAGGCAGATTTTTCTCTTCTATTTTAAGTGTTTTGTTGTAAAATTCAAGTGCTTTCGCGTAGTCACCCATGTGGCCATACACAAGACCGATGTTGTTGTACGAAGTAGCCAATGAGAGATGATTCGGAGGGAGAGTTTTTTCTTGTATTTTAAGTGCTTTGTCGTAAGATTCAAGTGCTTTCGAGTAGTCACCCATGTTGTCATACACAAGACCGATGTTGCTGTATGAAGTAGCCAATGAGGGATGATTCGGAGGCAGAGTTTTCTCTCTTATTTTAAGTGCTTTGTCGTAAGATTCAAGTGCTTTCGAGTAGTCACCCATGTGGTCATACACACAACCGATATTGTTGTATGAAGTAGCCAATAGGGGATGATTCGGAGGCAGAGTTTTCTCTCTTATTTTAAGTGCTTTGTCGTAAGATTCAAGTGCTTTCGAGTAGTCACCCATGTGGTCATACACAACACCGATGTTGCTGTAGGTGATAGCCAATGAAGAATGATCTTCCGGAACAGTTTTTCGTTTAATTTGTAGATATTTTTCATAAAATGAGACTGCTTCTTTATATTGTCCTTGGTCAGCTTTCACCAATCCCAGTTGGTTATAGTTATGTGCTCTATCACTGTCATTGGAAGCGTTCTTGAGTAATTCATTGTAAAGTTCTTCAGCTTGATTGAAGTGACCCACTGTCAGCATCAGTTTACCCATTCGATACCATCCGCTGCCGTTGATCTCCTCTCGCATGTGTTTGGCGAGGACAGCCAGTTGTGGATCATTCTCATCTGTGAGAGTTAATTGAACCTCCCAGAGGCGACTATTGTTTACTGTCTGCTTCATTTCACCGACACGAAAGACAGTATGCATCGAAAATAGAATTTCTTTTTCGCCTTTAATAGCACTATATTTGTCGATAAGGGCGAATGGAGAAGTCGAAACATTATTTGAATTAATTGTCATAATAAAGAGAACTCCTACGTGATCTTCATATTTTTGTAATGCGCGTTGAACAAAGTTCAAAGCTACTGGTTGTTTTATACTAGTCGACAAGAAATTGTTAAACGAGAGGAGTCCACCTTTTGTGTCGAGTAGATGCTGAAAGTCTTCTTTGGTGAGCCTCTGACCACGATAAACAATAAATTCTTTCGTATACATACTTGACTGTTCTCTATGTAGTTGTTCCAGTTGTTGGTGGAGATTTCGGATGAAAAAACCCATTTTTGCCATGGCCCCCATGTCGAGTGACCGTAAAGCATAGTTGAGCATGCCATAGAGAAACATTTCACATGTATACCAATAGATTGGCGATTCCTTGTGATATTTATGCTGAAATTCCTTTAATTCTGATTCAGGAATACCTTTCTTACGACAGTAGACGACCAGATCATTTAGAGGCTTAGCATTATCTTCCTTGATTTCCAGCACAATTTCTTTGAATAATACTGAGTACATGTAGGATGGCTCCAATTGGTCAAGATTTTGTTGATCAGATGTTGCTGCTGCCATCATCCGTTTTGGAACGAAGCTCATCGGAATTGTATCATGGTCACATTCATAGGCGACCTTTTTTAATGATTGACAGATGGGCTCGATTTCATATCGTCTACGAAGGACGTACACATGTTGTACTGTTGACTAAATTACTACCATTCGTTTCTTGATCACTGACATTTTCGTTCTTGTTCCATGGTAGATCTCAGAAGTCTCCACTTTCTTTTCCTGATGAAACACTGTCATTTGAAAGAAAGATAAAGTCACTATCTCGCTTATTTAGAGTGCTATACACCTCATATTCAGAAGTTTATAGTAAATTTTCATAATTTATTTTTGGAGATTGTTGATAGCTGAAAAATGAGTAAACCATTCTTGATAACTGTACTATGAAGATAAGCTCCATTAAGTCGAAGCCACAATTGTGCCTACTCAGTTGACGTTCCCTTTTGTATTTCAGGATTATCCTGATAATTTTGACATATGTTTGATTATGTCTAACATTTGATGTGGAAACTTCAATGTGTTTTTACAACAAGCGAACAGAAACATGTCACAGTTTTTATTCATTTGTATCCATCAAGATCCTTATATATGTATATCGACAAAGCATCGTAATAGAGTATCGAAAAAATTGATGATATTCCATCAAAATTGGAATATACCTTGCAAAAAGTAAAGGGCATAGATATAAATCAGTGTTTTTCGGAATCTCAGTAGAAATGACAGAGATTGAGACTGAGTTGGGCAACCATATCTCTCTCACGATCAGCGAAGCAAGTCCGAGGCCGAAATGATTCATTACTCTGCTTGCTATATTTAGTTCATACATTTATTAAATTTCGTTTTCACGAAAAACAAAGTTTTGAATCCAAACATTCAAAAATGGTTTACTAGAACGACGCAGAAAAAAACGAACGTTTGAGAGATTGATTTTTTCGATTAGAGAAAAAAAGCAAGATTCTATGGTAAAGATGCTTTCAAAATAACAAATCAATTTAAAATCTTATGGAATGAATGTGCAACTATCAGTAAGATCATTAGGAATTAAGTATTGATACGTTGCAAGGAAACTTTTATGTTTTGAAAATAAGTCTCTGATATTCCATGCCGCTTAATGTAGTTTTCCGTATTACTTTCATCTCTTCAAGATGGCTCGATATGATACTTATTAGTACTTTATTTGGATATAGTACTATGAAGACCAATGTAGAAGAAAAAGTGGTGTAAGGCGAAGAGACTCGAACAAAAGTTTTCTGATAAATCTTTTTTTACAAAAAGATGTGCTGACATGAAAAAAATTTTGTTTTCTCTAGGCAACATGATAATTATCTAAAAGTGACGAAGATGTACTTCATGTCTTAGCAATGACTGCATCTCTATATCCATTGATAGCTTACACCCTCTTAAGTAGGTAGACATCTCTAAGTGTATGCAATCAGAGTTGAATTCTTGAACATTCTATATATGGGACATGGGTCAATCGGAATGACAACCAATTTTCGTATCGGATCAAATCATAAAAAGCAAGAGATTTAACTATTAAGTTCGTAGTATGTCTTCAACTAAGACAATGTTGAATTCTTTCCTAAATACTACTATAAAATAAAGTAGCGAGAAGATGTCAATATTGAAACATGCTGGTGGAAGGTGACAGATACAAGTGGTCAGTACTATGAAGCACTAATGTCATGAATATACTAGAAAGTATTACAATGGAAGTAAATATTGTATACAAATTACTGTATTGATCTATTCATTGATAAGTTAGTGGTTACTTCACAAAGTTTACTTATTCGTACTTGAGTAACTGAATACAATGATCACAAAAATACTTAAAAAGTGGCCGTTTTTCCCGAAAATTTTTACATAAGTCACCAGAAATCGAACTCAGGTTTCTCAAATTTTCTGTTACACACTTGTGAATGTCTTTTATGAATGGCATCTTGAGGTGAAAACACCTTCAATCTTTGTCCATTCTTTAGCCCAAGCTTCGTGTCTTGCTTTGTTGTCACAAAAGATGTAAATTGCATCTAATTGTGGTATGCCATGAATTTCTGGCACAAGATGTTGTCCCAATGCTCCCGAGGAGATAACGAAAGCTTTTTCATCATCCATATCATTGAGAAATTGGATACATTGTTCTGGCGTTCTACAAAGATTCACCTCTCTGACGATACTACGCAATCTTGCCAGCGTATTTTTACAATCTTCATTATTTTCATCGATGTTGCCATCGACCCAGATGAGCAAATAATTTTGAAGCCGACCTTGTTTTGGTCGGGTGGAAATGGCTGAGGCTGTTGCAGTTGCACTCATTGCCGATATGGAAATATTTCCCTTCGATTTTTGGCAACCCATTTTTCAATACAATTTTTGCCGATCGGTTGGTAATAGAGCACGATAAATAATAGGTTGTTGTGTAGGCAGATATCGTCTTTTCTATTTATACATGCGATGTCCGCTGTTTTTTTTTCTAGATTTTTCTACGACGTCAAATATGAGTGTTTTTTCTCTGTTGACACTTAACAACAAACTCTACCTAGTTTCAATTGACAATATGGATGTCAACAAGAAGCGAAACAGAAAAAACCCAACAACGTCATTATTCCATTGTTATTCTTTCCAACTTTCGTTTGCTTTTCACCTGTACAATGGCTTAAGTGGCATTGCATATTTTTCTTCGATCCTTTCAGAACGACTTTTTTTCTTCTTCTAGCAAGAACGAAAAAAACAACAAAGACGTCGTCAGTTCAATTTTTTTCATAATGTGTGTGATCAACATCCTGATAATGTGTATGAAACAATAATAAAAAAAAAATTTAATTTTGATCGAGGCAACAACCGAACAACGATATTTACTTCTCAAATACACTGATCATTATTAACGAGTGATTCAAGTAAAAAAGACTACTCTTATTGTGCTTAATTTTCAGTGATACGCATTGTGCCTCATGGTTATTGGAGTCATGATAAGTTGTCTAATTGGAGTTCGAATATAATTAGATATTGAAGTACGTATTATGAAATCCAGAAACGAATGAAACAGTCCAATGAGAACGTTTCGTATAGATATAACAAGCAAACAAACGGTTTATCTCATAATTGCATTTATAAACTTTAGTCGTGTCACGTATTAAAAAGTTCTAATTCGAATTCGGATCAATATTCAGAATACAATAAGCCTTTGTTTTCTTTGCTATTTCGATAGGATAGTCGTTACTTAAATGAAAATTATGAATTAAAAAGAATTTATTTTTGCTTTTGGCTGTTGAAGCCATATGTGAATACCAGTTTCATTTACATTCGAACTCGTTTTCACTTAGTACAGCTAGATTCATGATTTTTTTTCCAGTGCGACTAATTTCATTTTCAGAGAGTGCATGAGTGAGACTAGCGAATGAATACATCATGACTCACAATCTTGCTAAAGCGATTTTTGATTTATATACTATTCATTCAAAATATGTGTAAAATAGAAAGACGTATTGTTTTCTTTTGGTATTCTAACTGTTGATCTTTCATTAAGTTTTACGATTCATAAAGGTATTACATTCAACTATTGTTTGTTCACATTTGAGATTTACATAATTTCGACGTGCATCACAATATCAAGGAGAAAATGCTTGCACTGTGCAAACCTATATCACTACAACTATGTTTATAATAAATCTATGTTGGTGGAAAACATTAGAAAAAATATTTTGATTGTGAATGATGAATATTATTAGCGCAAAATGTGATTAGAAAACTCATCTATAAATGATTTATATTTTGCATGCATACGAAAGAGAGTGATACATTTTTACGTACAGCTAACAAATAATGAAAAGTAT